AAATGTTTAAAGACAAATTAACACAAATCCTTCATAAACTCTTCCCAAAAAACTGCAAAGGAAGGAACACTTGCTAGATCATTCCGAGGTCAGTTCCCTGCATATCACAATCACAGATATAAATACACATATTCCCTAATATCTCTAACACCGCCTATGTGGATGCAGAAATCCTCAACAGAATACTACCATGCCACATTCAACAACATAGAAAATTGATTATACATTGTGATCATAGGAGAAGATACCCCAGGAATGCAAGCTTGGTTAAACATGTAACCATCAGTCAATGTAAAACACTGGAGTAGACTGAAAGGCACAGCCACATGGTGAGCTCAGCTTTTTAGCACAAAAATCCCATCCGACTGTCAGAGCTTCCACCATGCACCCTGACTCCCATCATCCTCTCTGGGCTCACCTCCCACTCTCTCCATATTAACTGTTGTGGCCTTTTTGCCATTCCTCAGACCCACCAGATGCACTGCTGACTTAGGCCCTTTACAGTTGCTATTCCCTGTTCCTAGAACACTGTTTCCCCAAATATCTACCCAATTCACTCCTTTACTTCCTATAAGTCTTCATTCAATAATCACCTTCTGGGACCCAGATTGCAGCTCAGTGACAGAGTGTTTGGCCAGCATGTGCAAAGCTCTGGCTTCACTCTCTAGCACTGCAATAATAATAATCTGAGCTCAATCATCACAACCCATGTAAAGGTGGAAGGAAAGGATCGATTCCACAAAGTTGTCCTTAATAATAATAATAATAATAATAACACTAATAATAATAATAATAATAGTAATAATAATAATGTCAACACCTTCTCAGTGAGCCCTCTGGCCTCTCTACATAAACTTGAAATTCTATCTCCCCACAGTCTCCTACTCCTTATTTCTCTTCTTTACTTATTTTCAAATGCATTTATTATTGTCTGAAATAGTGTGAATTTTACTTATGTGTCTTCTTGTTTGTTTTTCTTGAGATGGGGTCTTGGTACCCAGCCCAGGCTGGCCTGGAACTCACAGTCCTGTCTCAGCCTCCTGAGCGCTGGAATCCCAGGCTATGTGCCGCCTTGGCCTGTTTTTCCTAATGTATCTTGCTTGTTATTTATTTCTCCCTACTAGAATGTAAGTTCCCTTAGGACAGAGACATTTGGGTCTGTTTTATCCATGGCTGCATCTGCAGCCTTTGAATCAGGAGGCAAATGACCAACACTCAATACTGTTGAATAAATAAATGAATACAAACAGTATGTTCCTCAACTGCTCCCTCAGTCTCCTACTCCCTAAGTGAGTGCTCAACTCACTGCACCTTATCCCCTCAACACACACTCAGTGCCTGACACTGCACTTGGGGCTGAAGTTCTGAGAAGGGTAGGACCTAGGCCTGAGCCCTGCTAGAACTTACAGGCTGGGTCTATGATGGTGACAGAGCCAAATAATTATGGCCCAAGGATGAAAGCAGTGAGAAGCACTAAGGCTGGGGACAGAGGAGCAGGTCACCAGTCAGAGAAGGCTCCAAGGGGAGACAGTGTTAAGTTGGCCTGCCCTGGAAGCCCAGAATGATTTAGACAAATGGACTAGGGGGAGGATGAAGAGAATGAGGGGGTTGGGGGGAGTGTGAGGTGTGTTCTGGGAATCAGGAGGGGTTCTTAGGGGCAGGACTGCAGAGTGGGAGGAGCCAGTGAGGCTGTCAGGGCAGTTCATGAGTGCTTCTTATGCCAGGATGAGAAGTTGGACCCACTTCCAATTTCTAAGGAGAGTAGAACTGGGAGTTGGTAAGGACTTTATGAAAGATGGCTGGTAGGGGTAGAACTCAGGTCAGAACTTCCAGTGGACGCAAGCCAGGGACATGTACAGAGCCACAGGAGTCCAAGCTGAGATCCTTCCATGAATTCTCAGCCCACTATGTATCCTGCAGGCCAAGCAGCTTCCAGCCCTGGGAGATGGATGCCTCCTGGCCCCTCCACCTCTGACCAGGACAAGCTGAGAGAAGAGTTCACCAAGTTGGCTTGGTCAGCCAAGATGCAGTATCATTTCTAGATGAGACATGCTTGCCAGACTGCAGGGTAGGGGACAGCTGTGTCCCCAAAACACAGCCAAGAAGCAGCCTCCCAGAGCCAAACAAGACACTGGCAGAAGCAGGGCTGGCAAGGATCCACAGTCCCAGCTGGCTGATGCAGGGGCATGCCTCTGACAGGGCCTCCATCTGCTAGGCCTCAGTCTCCCTGCAAGCTTAGTCCCCATCAGTCCAACCAGCTCTCACCAATAGAAGGTACTGTCCTCATCACCCCACTCTATCCAAACACTAACTGTGAAAGCACTTATTAGCACTTAGCATGCATCTAAGCTGTTTCTCTCTCATGGGAGTGGCAGGACTCAGACCTGGTGTCTTTAGGGTTGAGGTGGAATTTTGTCTGTCCTATTCTTAATTGCTTTCTCTGGGCTTCAGTTTTCCAGTCTGTCAAATGGAATATGAAAAATCTTCCCAGGCCAGGCAGCACTTGGGAGGCAGAGGCAGGCAGATCTCTGTGAGTTCAAGGCCAGCCTGATCTACATAGCGAGTTCCAGGCTAGCTGGGGCTACAGGGACACCCTGTCTCAAAAACACAAAAAGAAAGAAAAAAGAAAAGAAAAAGAAAAATCTTCCCATAGCAATGTCAAGAGAACTGAATTGGCACACCTATGGGAGACAGGATGGCAGGCCTCTTCCAGTCTCCAGAAAGTTCAGCAGAAGCTCTTCTCAAGGGAGCCCAGGTGCACCTTCAGGTCTTGGTGACAGAAAAGGAAGTGTGCCATCTGGCAGCCAGTGTGGCCAGGAGAAGGCTCTACAACAGGCCTGGAACATTTCTTCCTCTCCCTCCTCTTCCTCCTCCTCTTCCCCTTCCTCCTCTTCCCCCCTTCCTCCTCCCCTTCCTCCTCCCCTTTCTCCTCCTCTTCTTCCCTCTCCTCCTCCTCCCCCTCCTCCTCACCCTCTTCCTCCTCTTCTTCCTCCTCCTTCTCTTCTCCCTCTTCCTCCTCTTCCTCCCCCTCCTCCTCCTTCTCCTCCTTCTCTTTCTTCTTCTTGGTTTTTTCTTTCTTTGTTTTGTTTTTGACAGAGTCTCCCTAGTCTCAGATCTCCTTGAAGTCACTATGTGAACCAGGCTGGCCTCTCACAGATTTACCTTTCTCTGCTTCCTGAAAGCTGAGATTATTTCTTTTTTTCTTAAACTTTTTTTAATCATATTTATTTATTTATTTATTTATTTATTATTTATGGATGGGAGGGGGCATGTGCCACAGGGCACAAGTTGCAGTCAGAGGACCACTTACAGGAGTCACTCCTTTCCTTCTGCCATGTGGGTTCCAGAGATCAAACTCAGGTTGTCAGCCTTGGTGACAAGTACATTTACCCACTGAGCCATGTCACCAGCCCCCAGGGCCTTTCTTGAAAGAGACCCTTTCTTAAGTGAGGACAGAAAGGAAACCAGCCTTTCTCCCTGGCTGGATACCTACTAAATACAGACCCTCTAAACCAAGGCCACCTCAAGGGTCTCCTCTGTGCATACCAACCCGTGTTAGGTGGCACTTAGGAAGCATTGGCTCTGGGGCCTGACTTCCCCTGAGGAAGTCTGAGGGTGCTGAAAGGAACATAGTGCAGTGTAGGGTAAGGAGGGAGAGCCAGGGGGAGGCTGCCCTTCCTGAGCTCACCCAGGGGGTCAGGACAGCCTGCAGGGAAGAATGAAGGTCATAAGGGGATCCTTTCGGAATGCCTACAGGACAGGTGGATTCGGCTAAAGAGACCACACCTGCCTCAAGGAATTAAGCAAGACCAAAGCCTATTCCAAAGCCACAAAATTGTCCTCAAGCCTAGCGCCTGGGAATCAGCCACTCAGAGGACAGGAAAACAACTCAGACCCAGGCAGTCTTTGGCCATTTTCTGCCATCCTTCACGTGCTCAGTCCTGCAGGAGTCAAGATCATGGGGGAGGGGTGGTATCAGGGACAAGGGACAGAAGATGTGACAAGGACCTGAGAATATACTATAGGTCTCCCTCTTTCTAGGGCAGTTTTCTGGGCCTGGGTAGCAGCCTTTTCAGAGGCAGAGAGAAAGCTATAACTTAAGTGGAACCAGGCTTTTTAGTCCAAGAATGTGACTGCAGCAAGTCAATCACAGGAACTGGGAGGAGAACAGCAAAGCCATCTCAGTGGACCTGGTGCCCATGTGCAAGGGCACTGTGTGCAGCACCAAGGGCCAGTGGGGCTGTAGCTGGTACTATCTTTCCAGAAACAGCAGGCCACTCCCACTTGGGGGAACAGGAAGAGGGGGCAGTAGGGAGCCAGGGACATTGTTGTACACTGGGGTCCTCAGAACCTGGTGCCATCCCTGTCGATACAGACCCAGGCACTTTAGCACTAAATGAGTTCCATACAGGCTTAGCCTAACTGGGAACAGTGAATTGAGACAAGCTTAGTGGTCTGGGGATGATTTGGAGTAGGTAGTTTGAGCCGTGTTTGCAGAAAGAGAAGGACACGTACAGAAGAAGAACAGTGGCCTTAATGAAGGAAGGGGACACAAGCAAAGGCTGGGAGATGGGCCACCCCATCCCAGGCAGAATGTGGGGTGCTTGGCGTGGGGGACTGGAGTGAGACAAGGATTTGGAAAGCTTCCTCTGACCACAATGTCCTTTAAGCAGGGTCCTCATCAGCCATGACCAACCTTTTTCATCTGGAACCTGGGGAGCATTCCCTCTGTCCCCCCAGGCTCACAAGACACCCTTGGACAGATGAGTAACCATTATCTCTACCCAGACTACCAACCATTAGACCAAAGGACTCACTCTAGGGCTAGAAATGCTTGGGTTCAAATCCAGTACTTCCCCTTCCTTTGCTGGGCAGTTCTCTGTGAACGTCTGTTTACTTACTGGAAAATGAGATCAGTACAACGAACACAAAGATCCAGCTCCAAGTGCACCAGTATACGTAAGAGATTCCCACCCACTCCCAAAGGGGCCCTTACTTACATAGCAGCCCAGGAGGGTGGTCGGGGCCAGGATGAGAGCCAGGTAGAGGCAGGGGGCCATAGCAAGCAGACTGGAGGCACAGATGAGGGGCTCAGCCCTAGGGTTCACTTTCTTGTACCTCCTTGAGGCCTCAGCCCCCAGGATGACACCAATGATGCCAGTCGCCACAGTCAGTGCCCCAAAAATCAGGCTGATAGGAAAGAGCAAAGAGGGCTGGGTGAGCCCTGCATCCTGTCTCTGTCCCTGAGTCTAACTACCTGACCCAGGTGCATGATCAGGTGCTGTGCAGCAGGAGCCACAGCCTAGAACTGCAGCCAGCAGCCTGGAGAAGTCCCATAATCCTTTAAGGACCTCTACTCAGGTAAAGCTGGATCCTTGACTTCACAGAAAAGAATTCCAGGAGCCAGCATGGACCAGTATGAGGAGAAGTGGAGGGTTTGGGCTATGATTTGGGTGGGCTTTTTGTTTTGTTGTTTTGCTTTGTGTGGGGTCTCCTGTATCTCAAACTGGCCTCAAACTTGCTCTGTAGGATGACCTTGAACTCTTGAGTGCTGGGATTACAGGAGTGAGCTACCACTCCTGTAACTGATTTATGCTGTGCTGGAGAGCTAACCTAGGGTTTCATGCAAGAGCCACATCCCCAGTCCAGAGTTGGAGTTTATTAAAAATAGAAAGAAAGGCCAGGCTCGTGGCGCACGCCTTTAATCCCAGCACTCAGGAGGCAGAGGCAAGCAGATCTCTGTGAATTCGAGGCTTGGTCTACATAGTGAGTTCCAGGCCAGCTGGGCTACAGGGAGACCTTGTCTCAAAAAGACCAAAAAAGAAAGATGAAAGAAAGAAAGAAAGAAAGGAAGGAAGGAAGGAAGGAAGGAAGGAAGGAAGGAAGGAAGGAAGGAAGGGAAAGAAAGAGAGAGAGG